CTAATAAAATTCACCAGAGTAAGTGATCAAAGTGAGGAATCTATGATGAAAGCTTGGCTAGTGTCCAAGGCTCCCAAGATATTTAACTTCTAGTAAAATTGTTAGCAAGAAGACATTGGGGCAGTCAGGAAAACATGATTAAAAAAGCGTATGTTAAGATTAGGGCAGGTCTGCAACCTTTAACATTATGACAGATTTTCTTAATATTTTGAAGGAATATCCACTTTTGTGAACACTTCATTTAAAAGCAAGATAACATTTAAGAGGCATGAAGTTTGACATACAATATGAACTACTGCTAGAGTGATGACAGCCAAGAGCTGCCTTTAGCATGTCTATAGACTGAAAATCTGAGGCTTAGAAGGGAAGTGTGTCCTTGTAAGAGATGACAGCTCTATGCTAGCACCTTGTAGAGAAAATGCAAGATGAAGGTCATCAGCCAACAGACCTGAAGTGTGGGTCATGTGTGATATTTTTCATTTGGGTTGAAGGAATTTTTGCCTAAAAACTGGAGTTATCGTACAAAAACCAGGAAATTTTATGACTGTTATCTTGTTTGAAAGTCTGAGCTAGTATATTACATGTGGTATGTGAGTTAAGCAGACATTTGTAGCAAATTTTCGCATGGAAAGAAGCTCATAAAGTGCTTGTCATTAAGGCTTTAATGATAGAATCATTAATGTTAGAAAAGACCTCTAAGATCATATAGTACACCTACAAACAATACTGCTCACTAAAAATGTCTCTCAGTGCCACATCTACATTTATCTTCAACGTCTCCAGAGACAGAGAATCCACATTTCTCTGGGAAGCTCTTTCCAGTGCCTGACAACTCTTTCTAAGAAATTATTCCTAATATCTAACTTGAACTTCCCCTGGCACAACTTCAGGTCATTTTCTCTTGTCCTGTCATTGTTACATGGGTGAAATTGTCAACTCCCACCTCGCCTCAACTTCCTCTCAGGTACTTGAAAAGAGCGAAAAGATTTCCCCTTAGCCTTCCCTTCTCCAGACTAAACTATCCCAATTCCCTCAGCTTCTCCTCATAAAGCTTGTACTCCAGACACCTCAACAGCTTTGTTAACCTTCTCTGGACATGCATCAGAGCTTCAATGTGTTTCTCACTGAGAGAGGCACCTGAACACAGTACTCAAGGTGCTGCCTCACCAGAGCTGAATGGGAGACGATCACCTCCCTGCTCCTGCTGGCAGGACCAGTACTTCTGATACAAGCCAGGATGCCATTGGCCTTCTTGATTGTTGAGTACACTGCTGGTTCATGTTCAAGTTGAGCGTCAGTCAGCACTCCCAGGTCCTTTTCCTCTGCACAGTCTTCCAGCCACTGCCCCAAGCCTGCAGCACTGCCTGGGGCTGTTGTGGCCAAAATGCAGGACCCTACAGTTGGTCCTTGTTGAACTTCACCCCACTGATCTCAGCTCATCTATCCAGCTTGTCCAGATCCCTCTACAGGGCCTTCCTACAAGTAGGCAGATCTACAGCTCTTCCCAACATCATGTCATCTGCAAACCTACTGAGGGTTCACTCAGTCCTCTCATCCAGATCATCAATAAAGATATTAAACAGGACAGGCCCCACTACTGACCCCTGGAGAACACCAGCTGTAACTGGTTGCCAGCTGGATTTAACTCCATTCACCACCACTTTCTGGGCCTGGCGTTTCAGCCAGTTCTTTACCCAGAAAGAGTACACGTGTCCAGGGTGTCCAGCTTACCCAGAAGAATACTGTGGCAGACAAGAACAAAGACTTTGCTAAAGTTGAGGTAGACTATGTCAACAGCCTTTCCTTTAACCAGGTGGATAAAGGAATCTCCTATGATCATCTCCCATGATCACAGGAGATGAGGTTGGTCAAGCAGTACCCACATCAGTTTTCTCTCCCTCCAGCTCATCTTGCAGCAGTCAGGGACAGCCTGCTCCTATGCCTTAAAGACTTCCTTCAGGAGGAGTGTCCAGTCTTCCTGGACCCCTCTATCCTTCTAGACAGACACCCAAGGGATTCTTCTTACTAGTGTCTCGTATAGTTTGAAGCCCACCATCTGCAAGTACAAGGCAGCAGTTTTGCTGACCTCTCTCCTGACTTCACCAAGAATTGTGAACCATTTTGTAATTACTCTGCCTAAGAGCACTGCTGACCTCTTCATCTCCTACCAGTCCTTCTGTTTTTGAACAGCAGGTCTAGTGGGGCACCTGCCATGGTAGGCTTTCTTACCAGCTGCACAAGAATGTTATCTTCCACTCCAGAAACCTCCTAGATTGCTTCTTCTGCTCTGTATAATACTGTGCTGCCAGCACTCTCAGGAAGAGCAGGGATCTTTCTGCCCCTCCTTTTCTGCCTACTCACAGAAGGTGATGTTGACAAATAGCTCCTGATATTCCAGCCTTAGAGAACATGTCTGAGCAAGACTGAGCAGTGAATGAATAAAGGACACAGGGACATTTCTCTTTTCCTATGCTGTGTAAAGCATGGTGACAACCCGTCCTTCCCTGCTGAGCACCTGAAAAATCTCTTCTGACTCTCAATATGTGGATGTTGGCACGTAGCTTTAACCGTGGCCTTTCTACTTGTTTGGATCAGACAGCAGAAGTAATTCATACTACTTTATTTATATTTTTGTTCAGAGTTTGTTAACCCTTTCCCAAGAATAGACAAAACTATGTGAATATTTTACTGGGAAGAATTTGTTCAGCTTCAGAAACTCCTTTTACTTTTACCCCTTATTCCTTTGAGATATTCAATGTGAAATTTTTCTGAGTGTCCAGCAGATTTAACAGCTTTAGAGCATGTCCATGCAGACTGCTTCAGCACTCAGTTATTAATGCTGTTTGTCATGCTGACTTGGCACAGGTGTGACAAGAGCTGGCAGTCACAGCTTACAAACATTATTGACCAAGGTAGCTGCTCAGAAGAATTAATCAGAAAGAAAATTAGCCTAAAAATTCCGGGAGCACTTAAAAAGATATAAACTCCTTAAAAATCTCTATCTTCTTCATGAAGGAGGAAAAATAATCAGTGGGGAAAAAAAATACAGGGCTATTTTCCCTTAGTTTCATTTTCTTACTGCTATTTAATGGTGTGTCAAACAAACTGTTCAAGAAATGAGGATGATGCTCAAGCATCGACTATGTGAAAAGGCCAGATTATCTCTGAAGAAATTGCAAAGATTTTGAATAGGGAATCAAAGAATCTTTACATATCAGGTTTAAGGGAGAACTACTGGTGATAGGCAGATGGTTGGACTGGATGATATTGTAGATCTTTTCCAACCTTAATGATTCTATAATTCTATGATCCTATATATAAACTCTGCTCTTTATCTTCTTTCTTTTCTCAGTTGAAGCATCAGAAGTTTTATAGCAAAAAGAATTCCTGTCTTCATTTTCTTGCTACTTTTCAGGTTTGTGCTTTTATTTTCTGTCAATTTGAAGATTTCCTGGTGTTTCTACATAAGTCCATATAACAATAACTTCATTTTTTTTAGCAAATTAATGTTGTATGAAGCTAGGGCAAATTATCTGCCTGCATACAAAATACATACAGACCTCATTGCTGACAGAGTATAAAAAATGCTTTAAAATCATGCCTTTAAGTAAATGGTATTTGCATTAGTGCCATATTCTTCGTGCTTCTAAAAAGCAGTGAATGACTAGTATGATTTTATTACAGATTTCTCATAATCAATAATCTTTTAAAACAACAATTGAAGTATTATAATGTACTAATATTCACTGTTTTTGAGATTCATGCTGTCATCGGCTTTACACTGTTATGCAGACCAAATGCCAAGGAGAGGACAAGGGGTATAGCACTTGCTTTCCCATGAAAATACTGTGGGGGTCACTCTGAGGCATTCCAAAACACAGAGGAGCTCCAGCACAGTACAGCACCTTTTTTCCATCCTCGTGAAATGCATTTCTGCTATCTAAAAATCATAGAATGGCCTGAGTTGAAAAGGACCTCAATGATCAAGTTTCAACCCCCCTGCTATGTGCAGGGTCACCAACCACCAGACCAGGCTGCCCAGAGCCACATCCAGCCTGGCCTTGAATGCCTCCAGGGATGGGGCATCCACAACCTCCTTGGGCAACCTGTTCCAGTGCGTCACCACCCTCTGGGTGAAAAACTTCCTCCTAATATCTAACCTAAACCTCCCTGTCTCAGTTTAAAACCATTCTTCCTTGTCCTATCACTATCTACCCTCAGATAACAGATGTACCTTCTTCCATGAATACACTCCCTTCAAGTACTGGAAGGCCACAATGAGGCCTCCCCAGAGTCTTCTCCAAAATATAGTAAATATACACACTTTTGTTACAGATCTGTAGAGCCCAAGCTTACAAAATACAGCAATTTTCCTTTTACAACTGTAGAATGCAAATAAGCAATAAGTGAACTCCTTAAAGACAACATTTAATTATGCTGCAAAACAAACAGAACGCTCTCCAGTAGAGTATGATAGATGGCGAAGCTGAACATGCTCATTTCAGCACTTCTCTCTTTAGCAAATCTAGTGCAATGACCGGAAAAGTCCATTGATATTGCTGGAGAAGATGGTAGATTAAAGAATCTTAGATTTTTAAATTGAGCAGCTCAACTTTTAAAAATAATAGGTCACTATTATTACACTTAGTTAGAAGCTCAAGGTTCAAGGGTTTATTAAGAACTTGCCACATCTGCTTACAAACAATCCCTTTGGTTGTGGATTCACAGACAGTACAAGGCAGAAAGAAGAATTCAGCTGACAAAGCATTTGTAGGTTCTGCTTTCCTGAGAGTGCTCCTGAGCCATAGTTAGATATTTGGGAAGGTAAGGTATGAACTTCTGTATTCCCAATTACTGAATTTGTTTAGATCAATCATTTAGGAACTGCTTTCTTCTGAAAATACTTTTTTATGGGTACTTTTTTTTTTTTTTTTTTTTTAAAGTGTCCCAAAGATCTAAAAGAGAGAAATTTTACAGGTTCTTTCACAGGTTTTGTAAATTAGTACGGAAAATAGCTACAAAGACATGCAGAAAGGCTAAACATAAAACTTTCAACTATCTGGAAGGTCTCTCCCGAAAAAGAACTGATTCAGGGTAGAACAATATGAACATGCAAAGCATGCTATATTTCCTTGCTAGAATATTTGATTTTATGACATCACTTTTTTGTGATAAAAAAAGTTTTTTATAATTAAATATCCATGGGATTTTTTTTTTCTACTTTCTGAAAGAAGGTGCATCTTTTTTTTCCTGCTTCCTAATGAGAAGAAAGCAGATTCTTCCTCAGCATCTGATTTATATGAGAATCTCCAGAAGGCTGTAGCATTGCAAGGACTACGATCAAGGAAAAAGACCCATACATTGTATTGCTACACAGTAAAAAAGCAATTGCATAAATATTCATTACATTGCATTTTTTATATAAGTGGAAGAATTCCATCTGTCACCCTCGCTGTAGCATACATTCCCTGTTATACCTTCTCTATTTTTAAGCGAATAGCAATAGTAACATGCCAACAGTATAACACTGCAGAGATTGAAATGAAACTATGCAACGTAGCATGTTACATAAACCAGACTAATCTAAGAGACGGTGCTGAGAAACAGAAAAGCATCGCTGCTCTGTCCTTCCTGCAGTGATTCAGGCTGACGCAGTAACATCAGCTGAAACCCAGGGCAAGATTTTCTGCAGGCTCCTTGTTCACAGGTCTGACATGTCCAGAGTCCCCTGGTAGCTGTGTTACTACAGAGAGAACCAGGATTTTACACAATATTTAATGCAGAGCACAGAGAAATGTTTTGTGGCTGTCCTATAATTAGCATAAGGATTCACTGAAAATTAACACCTGAAGTCCTGAAGCACCTGGCACCTTGAAGGCCCATAAAATAACAGGCTTCAGCTCAGCAAAAACATAGCACTGATGATCCCTAGAGCACTAAAATTATCACACATCAAGTATTCTCTAAGTTATTAACAAAGTACTTAAATAATAATAATCAATTAATTCAACTGCACCTTCTTTTCCATATGTCTCAGGACAAGAGACAGAATCAAAAGAAATAAAATATCAATTTAGTCGGAATTAGGTGTAAGAATGGCACCAGAAGCCAAAATTACTTCCCAGCTCTACTTTCAATGGTTCTTTGCTATTTAACATTAACTTTGAAGTCCAATTCTCTGCTTAAAGCCATCATCCACCTCCTCTGCTTGATTAAATAGTCTATAGACATTCTCCCTCCATGAGGTCCCTGTCTTAGGCAGAATAAACACATATAAAAACAAGGACCAGTACATGTTCTGGCTACCATGTTCTTTAGTAAACACTCTTTCTTCAGCTCAATTAATCTTGACACCTTCTTTGCACTGTGACACACAATTACAAGGCAAGGAAGTGCTTTTCTTATTTTAAAACACTTGTAGCACAGTACCATGGATGCTTTTCTAAAACAATGCACCCTCAGAGGAGTTGGTTCTCCCATTTCCTTAGAAAACATTTGACTAGCAGGCTAGTTTCTAAAAAGGAGACCCATTTTCCCTCTAGTTATGTTCTCAATGGAAAGCAATTGTCGTAACTGCGCTTTTTAAAGTAGGCCAAGATCTCTGCTGTATCTTAGGGATGATCTGAAAAGATCTCTCCCAATAGATCCTTGTCGGGCACCAGTCCAGTCTAGGCACTAAACTACTCGTCTACGGTTAGTACAGTCTAGTCACATAAAAAGGGAGAATTCTAGGGACTAGAAAAACATGGACTAATAACAAAATTAACTCATGCTTATTGCTTTGAGACTGGGCAGTGCCATTTGGGTGGAGGAAGGAGAGAGAAGTTCAGATTGCAGTTCTGAATCTAGCACTCACCTCTGCCATAACAGTGTCTGTCCTGTTGCTGAATTTTATTTGAAATCTTTGTCCATATTACAGAGCTTCAGAAGTCAAGGCTCTGCAAAAGCACAAATATACATGAAGAACCCAGCTTCACCTGGCTTCATCCAAAGCCAGCAGCAATGCTTCTGCCCTTTTATGTCTGACATAAACTAAGGTAACAACCAGGTAGAATTTTCTTTGGTAACTCTGCTCACTGGAGCCCTTGTAGCAGCACAATATCATTTTGGTAGGATGAGCTCATCATGCCCCCACTCAATACAACTGGATTGAGGGAAGCTCCTGGATAGCATAGCCTGCCCCTGTACTCTCAGTGAGCAAGATGACTGAGCAGTGGCTCAGGACACAAAGCTGAGAGGATTGAAGTGGCACAGGAAACATAGCAGTAATGTTTAAATAAAAAATACTTAAGGAAAATAATATAAAAAGAAGAGCTAGCCATAACAGGGAGTACTTTTGATCATCTGTAAGTACAGACCACATATAGTGTAGTCTTGAGCGCTGTATGTAAGAGCAAAATGGAAAAGACTGGAAAATATTCTGTTGTTCTGCCCCCAGGCAAACAGGGTTGAAGAAATCAGTGAAATTCAAATGGAAGAAAAATCCGTTTCACAGTGTCAGCTACATGCACCAGAGAGAAGGAAGGGCAAAGAAACAGAGATTGAGACTGACACTTGGAAAATGTACTTGGGACACGCAGGCAGTACAAGAACTAAATGTTACCTTTAGCTACAATGGCTGTGCAAACTCTGTCTGCCTAAAAAGACATCCCCAGATAGAGCACTCCTTAGCTTTTCCCCATACCAATGGACAGATCAACATACACACTTTATGGTGAACGTGAAAATAATTTACAATAAGGAGCTGAAAACTGCTAAATCACCCTATGTTCTGCAGCTGCTCAAGCACAGTTGTAAACAGCGTATTTCCGCAACTGGAACAGTAATCAAAGCCAATACCCTTGCCATCTGCATTCTCTCATGCTATGGCTGGAAGATACCACGTCTGAGCAATGTGATTGAGACAAATAGGAAGTGACATGCTTTAGATAACATATGAATGTATGAAGGTCATCTTAGCATTCCTGCTTACCCTTCCTCAGAGCCTTGCCCTCAACACAATTGCCTGACCCCACATTCAGAAGTGGTGAAAAGCATGTACTTGAATGCAGTAGAATTAATCTGACTTCAAGGTACAATAGGATATCAAATGCTATTGTAAGAATAAAAGGAAAAATCAAAGCCAAGGAATCAGCTTAAGATGTCTGGGAAATTCAAACCTTCATGCTCCATGTTAAATATCAATTACTAACTGTCTGAGTTAAAAAAAACAAAGCTCCCCTGCAGATGCATTGTTGCACTGTTCCATCATACTGTTTTGTTGTGCTGCAATTAAAAGTACTGACGACATAGTAATGAAACTGTATAGGCTGCAGGTACTATTCATATGAGCTCATTCATCTGCTCCTGTGTTCATTCAACATAGCTGTTTGTAAAAAAAAAAATCTTACAAATTAAAAACCACTGGCATTAAATGATTACCCGGATTAGCTTCTATTGTTTAGATACACAAGTAACACATTTTGGTTCAAATATTCATAAACCTATTCAGATATTGCAAGCAAGTGTCCCCTAATTCTTTTTTCCATTTGTTTTTCTTTAGACATTGGGCAGGTAAACTTCAACAGAAAGCTGCAGTGTCATGCTAATATATTTAATATATGTCAGGATTTGCCTCCTGTAAAACACAGATGTTACCTCAATGCTACAATATTTGCATTTGTTGTGCCCTTAAATACCAAAACATTAAATATTCCACAAGTGTTGCTCAGCTTGTTCCACAGCCAAGAAACAAGGCCAGGCACTTGCCAAAAATACACAAAACTAATAAGGTCACTTGGAGAATGACTAACCTTCTCAGATGTAAGAAAGAATCATAGTGAGATTAGAAGTGTTAAGTATTAACAAATTCACTAATAATCTGTGAAAATAAATTTTTTTGCAAGTGTGTTACTAATAATGAAGGTTTATATGATAAAATTTTGCAACGAGCTTGGAAAATGCAAAATACTGCATATCTGATCCAGATGCACCCAGTCACTACCTTCCATCTGTTGATGACTCAAAGTTAGGGAGACACTTAACAACACATGAAACAAAGTACTTGTGGCTGAAATTTACAAAGAAGTCCAATCACCACCACTCTTTTGTAAATAAAATATACTCAACATTATTGTCTGCTGCTGTTCACAACTGACAAAGAACAGCTTTCAGCCACACAGCTAAGTTATTCAGCCACAAGAAGTTCAATTCACAGCTAACCTTTGGAAATAATCTATTGTTGTCAATGCCCAAAATAAGTCAAATTGTTGGATACATGGAAGAGTCAGGGAGCAGGAAGGAGTCACTGCCATAAGCCTAAAGTCGGTAAGACCGAACACAAGACACGAGTGGCACAGATGGTCAAGATATAGCACCTAAAAACATTCCCTAATATAACTGGTTTTCCTTATCCAGCACAGCATCAGAGGACAATTTAAAAATAATTAAACTTCTATATATCACCACTGGCTATGGAGAAAATACATAGGAAGTTTTGAAAGGCATGGTATTTCAATGGGCTTCCTTCTGCTTCTGGGGAACAAGTTGGGAGTCAGCCAAATAGTGGCAAACAATTAGAAAGCATCTGGTAATATACATATATACACACACGGACATAATAACAAATATTCTTTTTTACCTTCCTCCTATCCACAGACATAGCTGATACATTTATCTCAACTCAATAGATCTAATTCATTTGCCACCATCCCTGTCAACTATTTTCACTCCCATCTTACAGGAAACAGAACAAAAAGCATGGTGCTGAGCCAGATAATTGCCACCTACACCAGACATGCAAATGAGAACTCAATTTCCCCTGGAATACACAAAAGATTCAGTTTTACAAAAGGAATCCACAGGACAAACCACTAGCAAATATAACCTCATAAACAGTTAGCTAGGACTAAACATCTACACAACTCCATGAGAGCTTCTCATTCAAATCATCGATGCAAAGAAACATCCACCAACAGGCTAATAATATCCCTGCAACAGCCCAGAAAAAAAACATGCCCAGCACAAATACTGCTAGAACATGGACATTATATTGCACAAACAGAACCTGCACATAGGCCTGCCTTAACCAGGAAAGGGAGTTGGACAAGTAAGAAATGCTACCGCAGCTGCTAGTGCTTCCACACAAATAACAGTCACCAAAGGTTACAAGTACCTTTCTTCATTCCATAAAAAAGCAGCCAACCAAACGTACTGGGGATGAAAGCAATACTAAAGAATACCTAAGGATTCATGAAATGAAAAAAGGACTAAAAAAGCAAAACAAATAGGCACTATTTGAAAAACAAAACACAAAGAAACCTTTATCACCAAAAGTAATGAAAATCTATAGGAAGAGAACAAATATTACTTGTTTTTCTTGTCGTCCTAGTTTGTGTAATGGGCAAGTAAGCCAACAAAAAAGCCAATTCACAGCCCCTCTTCTTGCTGGCTCCTTCCTCCCAGTTCCACACACCACTTTGCCTTCTCCCTCCTGCAGCAGCTCCTGCAAATGAAGGAAAAAGCCATTAGACCCAAAGGAGCACCAGCTGCCCCACCCAAACAAAACAGGCTACACAACAGCCCAAGGGAGCTCTGCACCTGCCCACCCGGCCAAGGAAGACCTTGCATGTCCCACCCCCAAGCCGACCCAGCAGAAACAGCTGAAAAGCAGCTTTTCTCACCACTCTGACACCCCACAGGGTTCCCAACAGCAATGCAGCAGGCCGCAGAGGCGGGCACCCTGGGCAAATAAGGCTGGGCATGCAAAGCAGCGGGCAAAGGGCCGGCTTACAGGGCACCCCAAGCTGCCATGTCCATCGCAAAGGGCTTGGGACTCCAGGGTATCACAGCACCCTTACAGGGCAGCCCAGGTCCCAAAGACCAAGGGAGGCTCCCTCTCTCCCAGTCAGGGGCATCTTGACCTGCACCCCTCTAACAAAGCAGTCACTCCATGCAGGCTGCCAGTGGAGCACAAAGGCTCCCACCCCTAGAACCTGATTACAGGCAAGGCAATGACACCCAGGAGCCACAGAGCTCAGTTTCCCCCTCAGTGGCAGGAACAGTATTCAGCAGCCAGACAGTGGAGCAGCATGGCCAAAAGCCGAGCTCGGGATCCCAGCCCCACGTCTCTTGGCACCACACCTCTAGAAGGCCAGGCCAGAAATACCCACCTGAGTATTGGGGGTCCCTGAGAACACACCTCACCATGCACAATGGGTACACACAGCCCTGCCTACAGGACGGTACCCCATGTCTCAGCATCTCCAGAAAGCCCCACAGAGCACGCAGCTCCCACCAATGCCCAACACACAAGGTGCAGCCTGGCCTGCCCAGCTGCAGCACAATAATCCACCAAATCTTCAGGAGCCCAGAGAGAAACCTCCACCCACACAGCAGGGAGGTTGCCCCAGCCACAAGCAGTGGCACCTGAACCTGCACCCTCTACCAGGCCAGGGAGGGGTTGCAACAGAATGGCCCAAGGGTACTTCGCACAGAACCACCCTCCCATGAACCATTTAACAACTTTGGGAAGATTCTCTATGGATCATAGAATTCTAATCCCCCAACACAGATAAAGCCATCAAGCTTCAGGTCTTGTACTAGACCAGGCTGCCCAGGGCTCCCATTCAATCTGTCCTTGAACATCTTCACAGATCAGACTATTCACACCCTCACTGGGCAGCATATTCCCACACTTCACCACTCTCTCCATTGGATTCTTACCTCTGGAAGCCAACCTACACATCCCCTTGAGCTTAAAGCTGTTCCCCCTTGTTTTGTCTCTGCTCACCCATATAAAAATATTTCCCTCATTTTTATTCTCTCCTTTTAAATACTGGATAGCAGCAATGAAGTTTCGTCACCACCTTTTTTTTTTCCTCTCCAGATGTTCTTACATCCCCCACACCAAACTCATCCAGCCAGAACAGTGCAGATTTTCTGAAGGAGATGCTTTTACTCGGTGTACCTCACTTTCTATCCCTAAGTCAGGGATAGAACCCTATCCCTACGGATAGAAGAATCCCTATCCCAGGGATAGAACCCTACCCTAACCCTAAGTCAGCACTCTTCCTTGATTTGTCATTCTCGCTACTGCAATTCTTCTTTTCCTCTGTTCCACCAGTTCAAGGTGCAGTAACAATAGCAAGTTAAGCTTCAGATAGCCAAGTCCTAAAATCTAACATGAAGGGAAACCTTAAATTAGCAACTAGATTTTCACATGAATGCCTAGTTTTTCCTCTCTCTACCCTTTTTCTCCTTCCCTAGAAGGAAGAACAGCACGAGGACAAGCTCACCATGTGGAATGCTTGCAGCCATTTCTGAGTTGGTCAACAAATGCACTGAGTCTTTTTGCCGTTAAAATTCTGAACTTTATTCCTTCCTGTCTGAAAAAACAACCCTTTGTGGTATCCTGAGGTGTGAAACACTGTCAAAAATATGATGACAGGAAAGAAAAAAAATCGAACTGTAGTGGCATTAAGTGTTTACTTTTATCTTATTGATATATCTTCCTCCCCCTCCTATTTTGCTCTGAATAAGAAATTTTATGAAATAGCAGATAAGGTGCTTTTGACCCAACACAAAGTGATGTCCTGTTAGGGACAATGAACCAGATGAAAGCTGAAACTAAAATATCCAGAGAGTTTCTACTAAGCAAGTACTGCCAAGTAGGAGATTCAGCAAAAAACAGAAATAAGGAATTACAGGGTTTGATAGCAATGACAGAAAATTGTAACCAAGCTTAGCATCATTAACTGCTCCCCTCCTGCTGTCTGGAAGCAGAAAGAAAACACAGTCACTATGCCTGAGCTGGTTATCTGTGTATAAAGTAGTTATGTGCCTCCTCATAATAGCAGGTGATTTGAAGAAGTAATTACACAAAATATTCTGTTTATGCTTTCTTGCAACACTATACTAGTCCTTAGATATTGTGGATGATAACTGTGATGTGGTATTGTAGATACCACCTTACATGTTGTAAGGCTGGTCTGTTTTCACAGGTCAAAAGAAACAACAGAACAAATAAATTGTGACAGATGTTCCCCTTTGTCTTCCTATCTGTGTGTGCAGAGACTTCTCCTATTGTCCTTGAATTCCACAGCAATCTTTGGGACAGAAGGAGTGCTGAGAGGAAGTAAACGACCCCTGAGGATTAACAATGGACCTTCACCGTGCTAGATGACACTAGGTGACATCAAAGATTGCCAAACAAGGCTGTGTCTGTTAGGCAGTCACTGGGGGTGGACAGGTTAATGAATTTGAAAATGTAATGAATATGTAATACATGTGAAAATATAGCCTGCTTACTAATGATCAACTCGTAGAGCATTCTTGGACAGTTATCTCAATACCATGCCAGTGCTGCCAATAAAGAATACCTTTCTTAATGGTAACAAAACTTATCTGTAAAATTTCTACTCATCATTTTCTGTAAATCACAGGGATTGCTCGATCAACATTTGTGAGCAAAGAAGCAAAATCGAGAACAAATAATAAAAATGTGTTTTTAACTAATTATCATCTCTCATATCTGTGTCAGATTTCCCTTTTGCCGCCATGCAGGTATATTAAACAAGGTGAATGTAATAAAGAGCTTAGGTTCATGATTCTAGACATGTTGCTCCATCATGTCTCCTCAGAGAGACAATGGTGGCACATTCAGTGGACCCTTGAGCTTCTGCTAAGGTTTCTTTGCTTTCTTTTTGCCTTTTGTTCGTGATCACAGAATCACAGAATTGTAGGGGTTGGAAGGGACCTCCAGAGATCATCGAGTCCAACCCCCCTGCCAAAGCAGGTTCCCTGCACCAGGTCGCACAGGTAGGTATCCACAGAAATGTGGTACTCCCTTTTGATAATCAAGAGTGTCTCACTTGCAAGGCAAGATGAGAATTAACTCTCGGGGCAAATCTCAGATGCCCAGTAACCACTGGGTAAGTTTGAATAAGGAAACTCTGCTCTTCACATTTAACAACAAAAAAAAAAGTCTTGTGAGAAATAAAAAAGGAAGCAATTTAAGTTCTCTTTAAGACATGCTGTATGCAGATCAATGATTCCCTCATGTGCCCTGTGCTAGGAGGGACACCTTGCACTCCAGGAGTCTAAAGATTTGGTTGCATTTAAATACTTCTTTCTGTATTGTTACTATTTCAGCTTAGCACTAGTCACAGCAGCAGGGGATGGCATTGCCTACAGTGACCAGCACTCCTTAACTAAAAATCTTTAGGTGACTCCAGAAGCAACACCTGGTACATGATGAGATGAGTTGGCAGAGGTGAGGAGAAAGTTTCTCCCTTCCCTATAGCAAGCTATGACTCCAGAATTATTTCAGCTGTTGCTCCTGGGCTGATGAATTTACATGCTGGTGCCTCCCCACAGTAGCTGTAAATGAAGATAAACAGCCATTCTTACCTCTGTGGGCTGCTCAGAGTAGCTTTGATTTGCTCATAAGATTTAAAAGGCTTATTGCCTATTTTTAAGGTGCTTTATCTTCATTGCTGTTATCGTGCAGCCACATCAGTATTAAAGAACTGAAGTGCCTTATAGTGACAAAATCAGAGAAAAATTAGTTAGCACAAGTCCTAGATGTTGTCTAGGAGAACTGATGGTGATCTCTATACAAGCTGGAAACAAAATCAATTCATTGTTGACCGAGTCTGAAGTCTTAGAGAACTTGGTGCTACACACACTTGACCTGAGGCCAGACTGCCAGGAAAGGTTTGGGGCACAGAGCAAGAGGAGAGGAACATCTCTGGCAAAATACTGGTGTCTTAATGAGGCATAGTTGAAATGGTTGGTACTTCTTGTAAACTACCATCTCAGCTGTGTCCAAGTCTTATCTTGTCTTTGAAACCAACAGCTTGTCAGGCTGATTATATAAAAGATGAGATGATTTGAATGGAATTCTGATAGGGATCTTGAGCAAGCTCCCCGGCTCCTGGGAAATCAGGGGGAGGGGAAACAGAGATTAAATCTGTTTCCTCTGCCACACTAGCCCATAAAACACTGAGGTCCTGGATCTCAGTTTTGTTTGGCAGAGTTGGCTGCCTTTAAGCCACTAAGAAGGGAGTAAAGAAAATTCAGCTCACTGCCTCTGATATGGACATAAAACTAATGTTTATTTCCCCCAGAACAAGGCCATCTGTGAATGGATTTCATGTTTTATGGTATCTGTTAGTATTCATGACAGTTGTCAACTGGAGGCTGACATCTGCTATTTAACCACCAAGCATCACTACACTGGGTGCGAAAGCACAGATGCTCTATGGTGTCCAAAGGCCAAAGCCTTTAAAAGCATGTAGGTAGCTTGGGGGTCCTATCTACTTTACCTCCACAAACAACTCTGACAAACTGTGACATGAGTACAGTCCTGAATGGCTGAAAATGGTCCATACTCAATGGATATTTGTGTGTCTGTATCGAATGGAACTTTACTGCTTGGGTTTGGCACCCATTATTTGGGTCATATTGTGGATTTTGTGGCAGCCAACTGGCAGCCAAAGACATACAGCTACATGAATTTGGCACATTCATATTCCAATTTCTAGCTCCTAGCTGCCCAAGTACAGCCAGATGCATGGGTGTGGTGTGCAGGAGTCCCAGCTTTGCTGCAGAAAGTCTCACTCCTCCAGTCCCAGAGGATCTCTGTCACGCACTTTGAATGGGTCTTATCTTCATGCTCAGGGATTCAACTGAGGTCTTAGCATTGTGCCTAAGACTAGGAATTAAGAATACAGGCCTAGTTTTCTACCTGGGACTATGACAGCAGGCTGGGACATTACAGAGTACATAAGGGATTTTAAGATTAAATACCTAAGGATTTTTTCTTACCCACATTGTGGAATTTTAACTTCTGCTCAGAGCTCCTCAAGTCCCTGCAGGCACAAACATGTGTTCAGTTCATGACTGTGCTTTGTCAGATTCATAAACTATCGTCTACCCATGATTGGACTTGGCAGATGTTTTCTGAAAACTCTGTCACATGCCTAACTTATCAACCCTGCTGGCAGTTGCTGCTCTCTCTTTGGGACAGGTTTTGAAATGCATGCAGAGCTCTGTGCCAGGAAAGCCAGCCTGCAGTTCTGTGACTGCAGTACAGATCTACATCAGGGGAGCTGCAGGTAAGATGCTTTCCTCACCAGTCTTATCCATTTATTTTGCAAGACAAATGGATTAACTAACTTTGAAATATTAAAGGTCTCCTTGGGTAGCAAACTACCCTTAACATCACTAGCTCCTATGAGAACTGATGTTGCTCAGGATCTCGCTAGGTTCACTCAGCACCTTCTAAATACGTAGGTCCCTCTGAAAGTAATGCCTCCTATTTATTTACATGGAAACTACAGCAGATACAAAGAGCATAATAGCACTATTTGATAGAGTAAATTCTTAGCTACAAAATACCATTTTTTCAACATAGTCACAATCATTAGCTGTGCATTTCTCACAAGCAATAAACAAGAGCCAGCATGCCATGTTTGTAAAAATCTGTACCAGTAGAGGTGACCCACTATTTCACAGTTGCTATCATGGTTTTGTTGACATGGTTTTTTGAAACACACTACCCACCTCCTCACTGTGCTCATATCTATTATTTGGTCTCCAGAAATGTTCAGCAAGCACTGATGAGTGTCAGTGGATGCAATTTTTTTCCACATGGAGGAATTCAGTGACATACCTTTCCTTCACATGTATTTCCATGTCAGACACTATTTTGTCAGACTGCCCTTCTGCTGCCATCTGTCACAAGGCAACAAGATGTAACAGAATGCTGCAGAAACGTTCAACCTCTACTGCCATATCACTAACATATGCCTGTGGGCCAACATAATAAAATAGAAGGCATTACTTTTGGAGCAGCCCTCGTAGTCATTGTGAGTATGAATTATAAAAAAAAAAAAACCAAAAAAACAAAGCAAGGCCTTTGTCACTATGAAATTTCTCCTGTAAATATAACTTTTAAAGGTCTTGAAGAAACAAATGCAATCCATTACAATACATGAGAGAAGATCAGACATCTGTTGAGAAAAGCAAGATGAATGTGGATTCAGCATCTTGTCTTGACATTCACATCTGAAAGAAAGATCAGTGGGGACCACAAATCTTTAGCTGATGGTTAAGTAAGTCATGAGCATTTTGTCAATAATTGTGTGAATGACCTTCAAATCCAACACGAGTGGAAACAGAAAAACACATTATTGTTACAGGTTGTGCATATTATTAACATGATGATTACCAGAAAATTTGAACAAACGTAGGAGATCTAAACTTTCAAACATCAGCAACCATGAGAACAAGCTATAGCTAAAATTTGTT